CACACTTTGGAATGACCTCTATCTGATAAGCATCCTCACTTTTAAAAGACAGCTTAAAACTGCACTTTTTAGGGAAGCTTTTAAAAATATTCTGCCCCTCAGTTAGTGCAAACAAGTGCTGTCACCATCATTCTGTGTTACTTGGTTTGTTTATATTGTATGTTTTATGGGTTGGGGATTATTTTTATTTATTGTGATTGGGAATGAGGGTTGGGTTGAAAGCTAAGCAAAATGTGCTGCTTATATACCAGTCAATGGTGCTTAAAGGTCTCTCTGGCTGGGTTATAATTTAATTATGCAGGCTAAACATTATGACCCTAACCAGCTGGGTGCTCAATTTACCAACCTCAGAGGCATGTAAGCATGAGTCAACTTTTATCCAGATACCTGAGCCCAGAATTGTACTCAAGTTGTGATCAGAGGCTTCACTGGAGTGCTCCAGTTTGATCACTGCATGATGAGTCTCTAGGTTTATATTATGTTGTAATGACCACCTAGAGTTGTGTTTCCACTAAGTCGGATGGATGGATGGATGGATGGATGGATGGATGGATGGATGGATGGATGGATGGATGGATGGATGGATAGATAGATAGATAGATATGAAAAAATGAATGAATAAATGAATGAATGATCCTCATCTTGGTCTTTAGTGGACATATCCCTACAAATAAGGATTTTCTGCCACTTCTTTAATAACTGCCCTTCCAGGTTTCAGACTTCTTTTGTTTCTTTGGCTGCAGTCTCCATTTGGACTGATGCTAAGGCATAGAAAATGTTTCATGATTTCAGTTTCAGGCTTTCAACAAAGTCTGGCTCCCAGCACTGAAAAATACAGCCTGCAAAAGGTCAACAAACTCTACTCAGCCACAAGGACCAGGGATCACTGCACACAAAAGACCAGCTAACAAAACCCATTAATCACAGTGACATATCATCTCTCCCCCTTATAACGAGAATACACCCACAACAAAAACACGCTGATCACCATAATCACCTAATCTCCTGAAAAGGACAAAAGCTGATCCCACAGCTATAAATACTCAGCTATGCAACAAAGTGCACCAGAGCACAGACAGAGGTCTCACTCCTGTCCTCTGAAGATGCCGGCCACAGAGATTGGTGAAATGTTAGGGGGAAAAAAAACCCTTAAAAACACAGCCAAACAGCCCAGAAGACCGACAACAACCATCGGATCACGCTGTGAAAGCCTTCAAGAATACATTTCCGTTTTCTTCATTGTCAACATTTAAGTTATATAATTTATAGTCATGATTTTTGTTGTCTTAATATTCAGTGGCAATCCTGCTTTTGCACTTTCTTTTTTCACTTTTGTGAGTAATAATTTCAGTCATTTCTGTTTTCTGTGAGTAATCTATGGTCCTATAACACTAACACTGTTTCAGACCAGTTTAAGAAAACAACAGAATGCATGTGCATGTGTGCATGTGTGCGCACATGTGTTTGTGCATGTATAGGTTAGTCCTAGCATTGACCATGCCAAATAGCTATAGCTATGTTTATTGACTTCAGAGCAAAGGAAGATGACTTATACTGTCAGATCATTGGTTCACCTGCCTGCTATTGGTCAGCTGATGGTCAGCAGCTCCCCAGGGTTTCAGGTCAGCTTCTTTCCTAACTATGCCTGGAAACACCAAGCTGAACCTAGACCTTTCTTCATGTAAAGCAGGGCTCTCAAACTCAATTTACCTCTGGAGGCAGAGTCTAGGTGAGGCTGGGCTGCATCAGATTTTCCGCCAAGCAGAGCAAGAGCCTGAGGAAGCTGCCCAGGGTTTCCTTAGCCCGGCTGGGGCTCCGAGGAGGAGGAGGAGGAGCACGTGAGCCCTTGTAGCTGGCCACGACCCCCTCCGGCTCCTTCTTCACTACCACCACCAGGATGAAGAAGCGGAGAAGGGAGGGAACGCCAGCGACTGCCTAGCCAGAGGGGGGAGGGCACGACATAATTTTTAAAAATCCCTCACAGAATCCGCCTTGCCAAAGGAGAAAAGTCCCCACTGGTACCTGTGAAATTAAACAAAATGGGGCAGGCCCCACAGGTACGCACACACACACACACACACACACACACTGAGGTCCAGCAACCTTCCTCTGAGGGCCCCCCTCAAAAAAGGTGCACTCAGCAGCAGGAGCTATCCCCACCACGACAGAGGAGCAAACTTTGTGAGGCGAGCCCAGGCAGCCTCCAGAGCAGAGGTGGCTGAAGCAGGATGAAGAGGAGGAGGAGGAGGAAGCACCACTGGGCACTGAGGCGGTCACTGGCTGGGCTGGTGCTGCGGTGCCGAGAGAGCCAGAGAGCCGCTTCCCTGGAAGAGGCAACGGTGGAGGCAGCTACTGTTGGCAGCTTGGAGGCGCTCTTTGAGGATGGGCCGGGAGCGAGCTCCCTTCTCAGGCATCACTTGGCGGCAACTCGGGTGCTCAGGGAAAAGGGCCAGCAGCACGCCTTGTTCACCGGCTGTCCCCCAAGACAGTGCCTCTTGCACCCTTCATCTGGAACTGCAGCCGTCAGACAGGTGGGCTGGCTGGCAGGCTGCAGTTCTGGATGGAAGGTGCAAGAGGCGCTGTCTTGGGAGAGAGCTGGCAAGTGAGGCTAGGCTCTTTTTTTACTCTTTACAGTAGCGGACGTGTGGGCGCTTCAGGGAGGGCAGGCAAAATAGGGGCCACAAACTATCATCCAGCAGGCCGCAAATGGCCCGTGGGCCACATGTTTGAGACCCCTGATGTGCTCTTCCTCTGACCCCCTGTAATACAGTTTATTCATGAAATATTTTACCACTGTCCATGTATCAGATTGAACAGATTGGTAAAAGAGCTGGTAACAGTACTATTCATGTCCCAGCTAAATATTATTTCCCTGCTGCCAAATAAATTTAGATAGTCAGTGTGTCTGTCTAGACTAGAGAGTGTAAAAGTAGAAATAGAAGCACAATATTCTGGGCCTTTGCTAGGTACTTTCAGATCTAAATGAAGTACATGATTTCCATTTGAGAAGTCATTCCCTCACTTAGTCACTAAACTTTCTAGCTCAGTGAGGAATCGCGCATCTTGACTTGCGGAAGTAAAGATACTCCTCACCTAATTCAAGAATGCAGCATGATTTGCATTGGCTAAATATCTCAGTGAACATATGCAGAAGGAAGTGTGGATGCCTTCCGTGTAGGCTTCTTGCACAGGACTATTTCTTTCTTGTTTTACATTAATGAAGTCTTCACTCTTCCCACTGTTAACACCTACGCATGTACTGAACGTCTCCAAGGAGACAAGGAAACCCTTGAGTCCAGCAATGGTGAATCCTCCAATGAGGCAGCAAGCAAGAGGCAACTCCTTGAGGCATCTAAGCTTCCAGCTGTCCTCCTGCAGACATTAATTTCCTTCTGGCTCCTAGAGGCAGGCTTTCTCCTTTGCATCTGAAATGTTGGTGAGTGCTTCAGGTTTCTCAGAAAGAGCTGGGTGGGGAAACACTTCGTACATCGCTTTGTTCTTTCCCCAGTCTCCTATTTCTGTCACCCGGCTGCTCTGTCAACAATTTCAAATGCATTTCCAAACCTGACACTGTCACCGCTGACTACTTTTACAGTGTTTCCAGCCATTGCTGAGGTTTCATCAGGGTGCTCGTATTTTTGGTTTCTAATTTATCATTGGCTATTAGTACATGAGTCTGGAGTTACCATGCTGCTTTTTTGATGCATCGTATTGTCAAATGTGGTCAACTTCTTTGAAGGATGGGTTTAATTTTTATCACACTCTGACTCGCTGAGAACACCAGATCTTTTACTTTAGTTTTTCCAAGAGGCAGCAAACCTCCCCCATATCCTCCTGCACATAATTTATAGTTAATGTATGTCATTGATTGTCATGATAAACAATGAACAATTGCTTAGATATTTTTTTAAAAAAGCTATCGGATAGCTTTAAATAAACAGGTAACACATTCAGAGGCATCATATTTAGCATTTCCAAATGCTAAGGACAGATATCAGGAGACTACATCCACTCATGTCCTGTTTAGTTATTTCCCAGGTTCATCTGACTGATTGGCCAACTGAAATTTCAGCCTTGCCCATGAAGACTGCCTTTGTCATCTTGTTATCCAGTACTGTTGCAGCAAACTGGGACTGAACCTGAACATTGAACAGGCAGACCAGTTTTCAACACACTTTGCTTAAATATATGATATAACAAGGCCAATAGTTGCGTTAACATCACAGCCAGAGGCCAACTTCAATCTGAAGAATTAAACAGGGTTTTTCATGCTGTGGGGAAGCCTGTATGGAGATAGGGTTTCCTAGTTCGGTTCTTCTCTGAGAAGAGAACAGAAAAGGTATGGCAAGAAAGAGGAATGTGTAGCGATATGAGTTGAGGTGAGCTCAGGATTCTCTCTAGGTAAGAAAGGTCATGCAGGAAGAGGACATATCACAAGCTTTCTTCTGCAATGTGTGTCTTCATCAGGGAGCAATAAAACTATTATTTCACAAAGTATATGCTTCTCTGTGGGATGTTGCTTTTTATCCTATGACAGAACTTCAAAAGGAGTCTGGGATTTTGGCCACTGATGACTCATTACTCTGTAAAACAGCCAAGGCTGTGTTCTCACCAACAAACATCTTTTGCCTAATCCTACTACAGAAGCTGTGATTTCTGACATCAAATTGTAAAATCATCACACTAGCAGTTTGGTAAATTGACACCTCTCCTGTGAAAGTTGCAGTCACTTTTTTTTCCAGGATAGGGGCAGCATATGGAAGCCGAAAGATATATTCCTGAAAGGAATTTATTAGCCAGCAAAGATCTCTTTGTGGCCATTCGCTCTGTGCTAAATGAGGGATCGTCATTACCATATGAACATTTTGGCTTTGATTTTCTTTAGTCTGTTGGTGTGAGTGTTCTTATATTCACTGCTGCAATATAGTAACAATAAATCTTTGTACAAGATAAAACAATTTATACTAGAATAATTTTATTTCTGTTGTTAATTTTCCTAGGCTCTACAGGTAGCAAGACAGCTTCTGTTACAGCAGCAGCAACAGCAACAACAACAACAGCAGCAGCAACAACAACAACAACAGCAGCAGCAACAACAACAACAGCAGCAGCAACAACAAGTTAGTGGTCTGAAATCCCCCAAGAGGAATGAAAAACAGCCAGCCCTTCAGGTAAGATGATACAACCACAAAATTGTATTTGTATGTTGCTGTGTTTTAGTAAGTCCAATGAAATTAACACAACTTGATGAAAAAATATATAGTGTACATAGGATGAACAGATTTTTTTTTTTTAAAAAAGCTTCTGTTACGTTAGTAATTGAACCATGCTTGGGAGTATAATGTTATAAAAATGAACCAGTGCCAGATTGTCAGGTCAGAGAGTCTGATGTCTGAACATCTCCCTAAGACCCTCCAAAACTTTATAGACTTTTAGAGATAAATCAGAAGCCTGTGTTCGTCAGAGCTGGCATTCTATCCCAATTAAGGGTTAATCTCGAAATGAGATCAGGCAGCCATTTCCAATCATATCAAAATTCATCTTGGTATCAGTATAGAAGTCGTTCAATTGATGCAGTAATTCCACTTGTCTAATCCTATGAGCTTTATTTATCTACATTGCTTCTATCTTCTGTATCCATAAAAATAAAATTCCAAATATTGGAAACATCCAAAAAAACCCTGCAGCTATGGAAAAACTGTAGGGAAAAAATTCTTGAAAATATATGAAAAATTAACTTAGCTTACAGGCAAATACTTAAGTGAGAATTGAATCCAAAATACAATAGAAATAAATAAATTTTAAAAGAACAATGAGAATGTTTTAATTAGTCTAAAATGCAAAAGGTCACATCCCAAAAAGGCAAAATCAAAACCAGAGAATGTACCGCTATAATATATTATATATATTCTTCAAAGTATGAATATATTTTAAAAACTTTCTTAGCCTTTAAGCATATTATTTGACTATCCATAAAAAATATTCTAATTGTTCACCCAGCCAGGCCAGTTTAAATCTATGGAGGAAAATCGATATTGTCCTTGTTAGTTGTTCTTGCTGCTGCTACACAATTGTTAGTATCTGGTGTATGTGGTGTGGTGTTATGTGTTGTGTTGTGTTACATTGATGTGCTGAACTGTGTGTCTCTTGCCTCGCTATATTTATACTTCTCTCAGTTGGAAACAGTTTTCCTTCGACTGGAAATAACTGACTTTTCCTGGACCTGTATTTTCAGGATCTTGATTCACCAGGGAAGAAAGTATAATAGAAATCTATTTTGCATTTGCTACTTTTAATTTTACAGTTCCTGCAAATGAGAATCTGGCTAGCTGCCAACATGGTGATATGTATTATTGTTGTTACTAACAGTTACAGAGCTTACAGATTTCATTGGGTTGAAACTATAGGCTCTTGTAAAATAAACTAGAGCAAATCACAGTATCTATAAATGCCTTGGGCTTGTCATGTTAACACATTGCATTGTTCTACTTATTGCAAACCAATTATTTCAATACACTTTCAATTCAGTTTTTCTTTTTTCTTTTTTGTAATTAAAGACTTGTATCTTGATAGATTTGTATTTAAAACTGTTTTGAAAGAATTAAGTGCTGAATGCATTCTGTTTTGTTAAAGCTGTTTATTTTTTAACTGTTAGTTTGGTCAATCTGTAGATGATCCATTTGCCTTTTAATAGACTCTTCTACTGGGGACATTTTTAATGAGATATTGTGCTAGCAAGGCCCAGTGTCAGGTACTAGGAGAAATGCTTTGTTGTGTAGATGTCTTAAGAACTGCTCCAGAGGATGAAATATTACTGTGTTGACCTTTCAGCTGTGAGCTTATTTGTAAGGATTCAAATAAGTTGAAAGGATCAAACCAACCAGTTTCCCTAGTAAGAACTGGAATTGGGTTTCATAGGTCAACAGTGAGGGCTACATTGCAGATTTTATAACATAGCCAATTGTTGGTACATATTAGAGTATTGGAGTTGCTTTTGCAGTTGGAGACACAATTAAAATTCTAATTTATTAATGTATACAGAGAGCTGGTCCAACCTGTCACTCACCGATTCAAATGACTGCCCATTCTTTTTCCACCCTTGCTCCTTGAGCTTTTGCATCCTTAAACCTATCCTTGAATATAACAGACAGTGTGAGCCCAGTGGTGCAATAAAAGGGCCTGAGCGCGTAAGAGAAGTTGTTAAGGAAAAATACACAAATGCACACAGATCCTTCCTTGTCCTGTTTGACAAGATCATGTATTTTAAATCACGCTTTGCATCACCTTCTTCAACCAAGAGTTAACCATATTCAAGCTATACCAATGCCATAACTTCAGATTGCTCTTAATCAAAATTACAAACCAGGTTCTTTGTGCACATACCAAATGAACAAAGTGGTTTTTTTAAAACCATTTTTTAAAAAAATAACTGGATTTTTCAAACGTGAATAAAATTAAAACCATAGTTTGGAAACATAGCACTTTAAAAAAAAAGTACAGCACTCAGTCTGATAGCAAGCCTCAACCTTGCCATCAAATTAATTAACAAAAGGCTCACTCTGTTTCTAAAAAGTATTTGCTTGCTGACAGAAGATCAGCTAAAGAGGGACCAGCCTACTCTTCCTTGTCAGGGAGTTTCAAAACTCAGGTGGACCCATAAAGAAAGCCTTTTCTTGTGTATCCATTAAATGTTCCTCCAAGAGGAATGACACCAAGAGAAGGGATTTTCCTGAAGAGAACCAAGCTTGGGTGGCAGGCCAGGGATGGGGGAATACAGCTGTTTATGTAGCCTGGACCTAGGTCATCAGAGGTAATCACCAACATTTCTGAGTTGTGTCTACAAACTGGTAGCCAAAGGAAGTGCCATACCAAAGTCATGTTTGCCGTATAGCCAAGTAAAAATGAAGTAGTTAGAGTGTTGCATGGGTTATTGCTGGCTCTTCTATGAAGTCGTATGCCGAGTGAATTTGGCACAAAAGGACAACTCAGTTTAATGTCTTGCAGTAGAATTTATTTTGCCCGTCCCTTTTTCTTTTGACCTCTGCGATTATTGTTGCAGACATGTTCTTGCACATTTCTTGCATTTTGTGTATCAGCATTTGGTTTAAAATGTCTGCTGCTAGGTTTTACAAAAATAAATCTACAAATGCAAATGCTATGACTCACATTTTAAAGTGCAGTCAGTATACAGCTTGGTCTTTTATTTGGCAGTGAGCTCTGCCTTCGTGGGCTAATAATACAAACAAAAGACATTTCAAAGTTCGAGGAATTGGTTTTAATAGTCAGAAATTAAACCATGAAAATATCAAAACCATAGAAAACAAAATGGGTAGAGATTAAAGCTTTTTGTGCAAATATTTGCCTCTGGTGTCAACTTCTATTTCATAGTATGAAATAGCCCTGAAATATTTTCAGCTTACCTGGCTGGGATATGTATGACTAGGAGTACATTTTCCTACTATATTACAATATGTTCTTTTGATCACTTACTCTTAGTATTGCTTTTTTGCATTATTTGCTTATTTAAGTTGTTAGCATGGATATGTAAATTAGAAGAAAATAAAGAATTACCTTTCAGAAAACAAACTATATGTAAATGTATGTAAACTTTGGCAGTATTAAAAAGTGTTTTAGAAAGGTGTTCTGAGCAGCAAAGAAAGTCATATATCATGATAATAAATACTCTCAAAAATTATAAAGTATCTGATTTGTAAGACTTGATAACATTGACATGACATTTGTTGGAAAGCAAAAGTATGAAAGAAAATTGTTTAAACAGAAATAATAAAATAATAAAATAAAATGGGGGAAAATAAGTTCATGCAGCAGAGATGATAAAACAGCCCCTTCTAATATAACCCCACAGGATAGAACTCCAAAGACAATTTACTACCGCAAAAGCTCAAGGAATTCTGCTTGTTGTTGTCCAAAAACACGAACGTGTGCACCTCTTATCTCAGTGCGACAACAAAATATGTGTAACGGAGGAGGCCAGTCATATGTCCTACAGAATGAAGTTCCAGAGCATGGGAACAGGGGCCTAAAAAACTGCACCTACAGGTGTCCCTGCCTGGCTGACCCTTCAAGATAGGTGGATGCGGAGATGAGGAAGACTGATAAGAGAGAATGGTAGCCCCCTCAGATAGACTCCAGTTCATTTAGCTTTTCATGCTCACATGAACTGCTGTAACCAGAAGAATGAAGTTAGTTCAACCATAGAAAACAAAATGGGTAGAGATTAAAGCTTTTTGTGCAAATATTTGCCTCTGGTGTCAACTTCTATTTCATAGTATGAAATAGCCCTGAAATATTTTCAGCTTACCTGGCTGGGATATGTATGACTAGGAGTACATTTTCCTAATATATTACAATATGTCCTTTTGATCACTTACTCTTAGTATTGCTTTTTTGCATTATTTGCTTATTTAAGTTGTTAGCATGGATATGTAAATTAGAAGAAAATAAAGAATTACCTTTCAGAAAACAAACTATATGTAAATGTATGTAAACTTTGGCAGTATTAAAAAGTGTTTTAGAAAGGTGTTCTGAGCAGCAAAGAAAGTCATATATCATGATAATAAATACTCTCAAAAATTATAAAGTATCTGATTTGTAAGACTTGATAACATTGACATGACATTTGTTGGAAAGCAAAAGTATGAAAGAAAATTGTTTAAACAGAAATAATAAAATAATAAAATAAAATGGGGGAAAATAAGTTCATGCAGCAGAGATGATAAAACAGCCCCTTCTAATATAACCCCACAGGATAGAACTCCAAAGACAATTTACTACCGCAAAAGCTCAAGGAATTCTGCTTGTTGTTGTCCAAAAACACGAACGTGTGCACCTCTTATCTCAGTGCGACAACAAAATATGTGTAACGGAGGAGGCCAGTCATATGTCCTACAGAATGAAGTTCCAGAGAATGGGAACAGGGGCCTAAAAAACTGCACCTACAGGTGTCCCTGCCTGGCTGACCCTTCAAGATAGGTGGATGCGGAGATGAGGAAGACTGATAAGAGAGAATGGTAGCCCCCTCAGATAGACTCCAGTTCATTTAGCTTTTCATGCTCACATGAACTGCTGTAACCAGAAGAATGAAGTTAGTTCCTCAAGTTCAGAAGAGACAGTTCCTCAAGTTCAGAAGAGACAATAGCAGTGGCAGAGC